CGAGCAGGGGAGGGGCAGAGAGAGGAGACACAGGATTCAAAGCAGATTCCAGGCTCTGAGCTGTCAGCACAGAGCCTGATGTGGGGCTTGAACCCACGAACCACGAGATCATGACCTGAGCTGAAGTTGGACACTTAACCGACTGAGCCACCCAGGCACACCCATTTTTTAAATAATGTTAAAAAAAAATTTTGTTTTAAATGTTCTTTTCATCTTTTTTTAAGTTATTTATTTTTGAGAGAGAAAATGCACATGCACTCACATGTGCCATGCAGCAAAGGGGCAGAGAGAGAGGGAGACAGAGAATCAGAAGCAGGCTCTGTTCTATCAGTACAGAACCCAATGCAGAGCTCAAACTTGTGTACTGTGAGATCATGACCTGAGCCAAAGTCCAAAGCTTAACTGACTGAGCCACCCAGGCACCCCTGTAATTCTTTTCATCCTCAGAACACATCCATTGGGGGGGTGGGTGCCTGGGTGACTGAGTCAATTGGTTAAGCGTTTGACTCTTGATTCTGGCTCAGGTCATGATCTCATGGTTCATGAGATAGAGCCCTGCATCGGGTTCTGTGCTGGCAACATGGAGCCTGCTTAAGACTCTCTCTCAAAATAAATAAATAAGCTTAAAAAAAAAAAAAACTAAAATAATTCCTCTTTGACTAATCTACCAACTTGAAACACAGGTTCATTTGTTTTGTTCTGCTTTCAAAATCTGTAGGTTGGTTTTCTACTTTAATTTTTTAATATGTAAAATATATACATGTTTCCAAAGTTAACACTGTGAAAACAGGTATGTTCAGAAAATTTTCAAAAAAAGAAAAGAAAAGAAAAGACAATTTCCACTATTCTATCCTATTCCCGCCATCCCCCTACAGGTAACATTTTTGGTTTCGATGTATGTTTCCTTTCTGTTTCAAGTTAAGTTAATAAATATTCATACATACCCCTCATTTTAGATAAAAGTCAGCACAATTTATTCATTAAAGAAAAACCCATTTTAAAAGGTATTCTTACTTCTATATATAGGCTTTTCGGAGGTTTCATATCTTGTGTGATGTCCAAACCTCCATCTCCTCCCAGTGACCTCATATAAGTAGCAAGGGACTTTTTATAATGATTAAACCACTCCATCTGCAAACACAGAGATGATCATTTGACAAAATTAGAAGAAAGAAACTTGCAAAAACTGTATACTCATCCTTTTATAAATAGCACATTTCCCCACATGGATCATTACTGACCATTCATTCATTTAAACTACAAGTATTGCTTGCTGTGAACCAGGCCCTGTTCTGGGTATTTAGGATGGATCATTTACCAAGTGAACAAAAATCTCCATTCTCACAGAATTTATATGCCAGCATACTTAAACACAGACCAGAAGCAGAACCATGAAAAATATACCATTTCAGAATTATGATCTCTCCAAATTGTATTGATGGTTTTTCTGAAAACCATAAAACCCTGCTGAGAAAAACACCCAAGTATTTATCACTGATGAGTGGATAAGGTATGTATATCTGTACAATGGATTATTATTTAGCCACACATCAGAATAGAGTTCTGATAATGTCAGTAACATAGATAATCTTAAAAACATGCTAACTGAAAGGCACAAAAGGCCACGTATTACATAATTCCACCTATATGAAAAACCCATAGTAGGCAAATCTATAAAGAGAGAAAGTAGATTAGTAATCTCCAGGGGCTGGGAAGAGAGGAGAAAACATGAAATAACTGATAATGGATACACAGTTTCTTTTGGGGGTGATGAAAATGTCTTGGAATAAGATGTTGGTAGTAGATGCACAACTCTGAATATACCAAAAAACACTGAATTGTATACTTTAAAAGAGTAAATTTTATGCATGTAAATTTTGCCTTAGTAAATCTGTTAATTTTTTTCACTGTTGAAACATATTACAGACCTAAATATATGGAGGGATTACCACATTCACAATTCAGTATTATATCAACTCATCTATGTATTCAATTCAATCTCAATCAAAATCTCATTTAAAAAAAAAATAGAACCTGACAAATTGAGTCTAAAATTTACATGGAAATTCAAAGGGCCTAAAACAGTTGAGACAATTGAAAAAGAAGAACAAGATGGGTATGCTTGCTGAAGACTTATAAAGGTACAATACAGAACTGGCATAAGGACATATAAATTAAAAGAACACAAGGGAAAGTCTCCTATCCTAAATCCCCAGATATACTGATACTCAATTTATGAAAAAAAGTGGTACCATGCACAGAGCAATGGGGAAAGGAGGTCCTCCTTTCCAATTAAATGGTGCTGGATCATCTCAATATCCATATCCAAAATGCAAGCTGACTTTTAACATTATATACAAAAACCAATGCCACTACTGCAGATGTCCTTGTCAAAGGTAAAACAACATAGCTCTTAAGAAACTACACAGAAAAACACCTTCATAACCCTCATTAGAAAGTGTGTGTGTGTGTATGTGTGTACACATGCGTGCAACCTCAGGTGCAATAATGCACCTGAATGACTCACAAAGCTCTAGAAAGCACTACACTTACAATCACAATTTTACCATAGCGAGAGGGATAATTATCAGAACCAGCCAAAGGAAGACACACAGAGTGAGGTCTGGGAGGGTACTAGGGGGGGCCAAGGGCAGGTCACCCCAAAATGGGCCACTTTGGCATGAAGACTATTTTGAGTTAAAAAGTTGATTCAGGGGTGCCGGGGTGGCTCAGTAGGTTAAGCGTCCAGACTTCAGCTCAGGTCATGATCTCACAGTTTGTGAGTTCGAGCCCGGTGTCGAGCTCTGTACTGACAGCTCAGAGCCTAGAGCCTGTTTCAGATTTGGTTTCCCTTTCTCTTTGCCCCTCCCCTGTTCATGCTATGTCTCTCTCTCAAAAATAAACATTAAAATTTTTTTTCAAAAAAATAAATAAATAAACCAGTATATTCAGGAAAAGCTCTTTACCTCCCCTACAACTGCCTTAAAAAAATTTAGATAGAGGACCTGCTCTAGGAAGAGAGCTACCACCATAGACAACTATATTATGCTATGAACAAGGTATGGTAGACAAGGAAGAACCTAGCAAGGACAGTTTGATGCAAGTCCTCTCTTTGTTTCATTGTTTCTGTGGGCCCAACAAAGATCTGTTTACCAAATATCTGCTCTTTTTCATTCTTCCTAAGGATTACTTACATTCCTTCCCTCTGAAGTCCTAAACCCCTAACTCTTAGGGTGCCTGGTTGGCTCAGCCAGTAGAGCATGTGTCTGTTGATCTGAGTCTTGAGTTCAAGACCCACGCTGGGTATAGACCTTACATTAAGAAAAAACAAAAACAAAACATGTATACCTCATTTTGCCTCACTATCTTTGGAATTTCCATGTCTGTGTGGATTCCCAGTATGTATGAAGTTAAATTTGATTTTTCTCCTGTGTTAAATTCGACTCTTAGTCTGGCTAGGACCTTGAAAAGAACAGGACATTCTTATTCCCTGACAGTAAGCAAACATGAAGCTCTAGGGTCCTCTCCCTATAGAATCATGACACATCATACTCTTGGCACAACGATGTGTAACAGTACACACAAAGCACTATCGACCAGGGAGGCTCACACAAGCTTTGGTGTCCAGAATTTTTACTGGGGTTTCATCACACACGCACCATTGTTTGAATCACTATCCATGTGACTGAGCGCCATCTCTAACTCCCCTCTCCTCTCTGGAAGTTAGACTGACATTAAGAGATTCAAAGTCTCAAACCAAAGAAGATAGCAGGAACCCCTGAATTTATAGCCATTTAGTCACAAGGGAGGGTGGCCCTGGGAACACCCAAAACCTGTGGCAGGTGTCTGCAGAGGGCAGTCTTAGCCTGTCAAGTTCAGTCTAACTCTACATAGTGTCAGAAGCTACTGCAAACCTGCTACAGGTAAGTACTACCATCCTCATTTTGTAAATGAGGGAATTCAGGCATAGAGAGAACTCAAGTAACTTGCCCAAGATTTGATAGTGACAAGGACAATGTCTGAACCTAGGTTTACTTGACTCTAGTCCTGTGTCCTTAAATACTGGGCTAGCTCTGTGCCTTAGTGACTGGACAAATGAAGAGTATTCATGTTGACTAGGAAAGGGCATGCGCACATGCACACATACACACTCATCTAAATAATAATGCCAGTTTTTAATCCTACTGATGCATCACTAATAAGTAACATAATGGGACCCTTTACTTTGTCAATAACAGAGGTTTCCACATAGCATTTAGAATTACTCCTAAATTCTTATCACAGTATATACCAAATAAATACAAGCCAAAAATTGCTGAAAAACAGATGTTAAACACAAAGAGAAATACTGTAAATACTTTCACAGGACAATGCCAGAACCAGCGTTTTCCAGATCAGAAACGTGAACAACAGTGCTAACTTACTTCTTCAGCAGACATGTGAAACCGTAAAGCATTTGGCAAGACGCTGCCATACTCCCACCTGAGTGCTCTGATCCGAAGCAGTCGATCATACCTAGGACAAGAAGAAGGTATGAGACCACATAACTATAAGAAGACACCTTTGGGACAACAGGGATACACAAATATGGACAGTACAGGTGTGGTGAAGGCTTCTTCATTTCTCAATGTTTGAGAACGGTACAGTGGTCATGAGAAAAAAGATCCAAAAAGGACCTTATTTCTTAGAGATGCATACTAAAATATTCAGTAGTAAAAGGCCATGATGTTCTAGATTAATTTAGCACAGACAAATAAAACAAGATGAAACAAATATGGCAAAATGTTAAAAATTGTTAAACTTAGATGATGGCTCCCTGGAGGGGGGGAGGTTCATAATATTTTTCATAATATTCTAGTTTTATGAAAACTGCATTTTTCATGATTAAAAAAATAATAATGGAAAAAAGATAAGTATTTAGAATGCTTGCCCAGGAAAAACAAATGTAAGAATTTCTGTTATCCATTCAAAATGGTTAATTAGGAAACCACGTGCAAAATCCTCCATTGTTTCCTGCCACTCCAAGCAAAAACTGAGAAGCTTACAGGTATGCTACAGTACAGCGTCGATTTCTTAACAAGGAACAGTGTCGAAATTTGATGGTTGGTATCAAATCACTTTGTCCACCTGATTTCACTTCATTCCTGGGAAGAACATTTAAAGAAAAGAACATTAAAAAAGAAAAAGAAGAAGAAAAGAATGAATATGTATATTTTAGCTAAGTAAAATTTTCAAAGCCAACTGACAAAGGACTTCCATGTTTGTTTTTGCACATTTACATAATCAGCAGTTAATGTAACCAAATAGTACCTGCCTCCACATCAGAGCTTTTATTATGTTAAAAGATAAAAAAGCCAAAAGCTAACTAATTTACTTAAGATCACGCTATCAGCATTTCATTTAACCATTTGGTATTTTGCATTTTTGCATACTGATTAATCTCAATTGTTTTCAAAAGACATAGTGTTAACTCACCTTTTGGAATTCCTTTATCATGCTAGTATAAGAGACAAACCTAACATCATGGTTTAAGATTATGGTCTTTTATCATGTTTTTATTTTAAAAGGAACTACTCTTCCAAATCCTTGGAATAAAGTGAGCTAAAACGGAGTCAAAATGGTCCTTCTTCACTCATCCCACAAATATTTATTGATCTTCAACTACATGCATGTCCTATACTGCAGTGTTCTTCACACAGAGAGGGAAAAACTTTGGTTTTACCCTATAAAATGTACATCTCCTTAGATATTAGCCAAGTATCACATTTAAAAACCAGATTAATTAATGGGCACAGAGTTTCAGTATTACAGGATGAAGGGTTATGATGATGGATGGTGCAGATAGCTGTGTAACATTATGCACATATTTAATACTACTGAACTATGCACTAAAATGATTAAGATGACAAATTTATGTTATTTGTATTTTACCGTAAAAAAATAGGAAAAAAAAAATAAAAACAAAACAAGAGGGAAGTATATAATAAACTAAGAGGGAAGTATGTAGCAATCCAGACCTTCCTAAAGAAGGAAAAAAATGTCTCATACACAACCTAACCTCACACCTAAAGGAGATGGAAAAAGAACAACAAATAAAAACCAAAACTAGCAGAAGAGAAATAATAAAGATTAGAGCAGAAATCAATGATATCAAAATAAAAAAGCCAGCAGAACAGATCAATGAAACCAGCAGCTGGTTCTTTGAAAGAATTAACAAAATTGATAAACCCATAGCTAGATTTATTAAAAAGAAAAAGGATTCAAGTAAATCATGAATGAAAGAGGAGAGATGACAACCAACACTGCAGAAATACAATCATTAATAAGAGAATATTATGAACAATATATGCCAACGAATTGGGCAATCTGTAAAAAACGGGTAAATTCCTAGAAACATATAAACTACCAAAACTGAAAACAGGAAGAAATAGAAAATTTGAACAGACCCATACCCAGTAAAGAAACTGAATCCAACAAACAAGAGTCCAGGGCCGGATGGCTTTCCAGGGGAATTCTACCAAACATTTAACGAAGAGTTAACACCTATTCTCTTGAAACTGTTCCAAAAAATAGAAATGGAAGGAAAACTTCCAAATTCATTCTATGAAGCCAGCATTACACTGATTCCAAAACCAGACAAAGACTCCATTAAAAAGGAGAACTACTGACCAATTTCCCTGATGAACATGGATGCAAAAATTCTCAACAAGATACTAGCAAACTGAATCCAACAATACATTAAAATAATTATTCACCACGATCAAGTGGGGTTTATTCCTGGGGTGCAGGACTGGTTCAAGATCCCCAAAATAATCAACACGGTACAGTACATTAATAAAAGAAAGGATAAGAACCACATGATTCTCTCAATAGGTACAGAAAAAGCATTTCACAAAATACAGCATCGTTCCTTGATAGAAAACCCTCACAAAACCCTCTGTAGGGACAAAGGGATCATGCAAGTTCATAACGGCCATATACAAAAGACCCACAGCTAACGTCATCCTCAACGGGGAAAAACAGAGCTTTCCTCCTAAGGTCAGGAACATGACAGGGATGTACACTCTCACCACTGTTGTTCAACAAAGTGTTGGAAGGCCTAGCCTCAGCAATCAGACAACACAAAGAAGAAGTCAAACTTTCAGTCTTCACAGATGACATGATACTGTACGTGGAAAACCTGAAAGACTCCACCAAAAAACTGCTAGAACTGATACACGAATTCAGCAAAGTCTTAGGATATAAAATTAACGTACGAAAATCAGTTGCATTTCTATACACCAATAATGAAGCAGCAGAAAGAGAAATCGAGGAATCAATCTCATTTACAATTGCCCCCCCAAACCATAAAATACCTAGGAATAAACCTAACCAAAGAGGTAAAAGATCTGTACACTGAAAATTATAGACAGCTTATGAAAGAAACTGAAGAAGACATAAAGAAATGGAAAAACATTCCATGCTCATGGTTTGGAAGAACAAATATTGTTAAAATGTCAATACTACCCAAAGCAATTTGCATATTCAATGCAATCCCTATCAAAACAACACCAGCATTCTTCACAGAGCTAGTACAAACAATCCTAAAATTTGTATGGAACCAGAAAAGACCTCAAATAGCCAAAGTAATGTTGAAAAAGAAAACCAAAGCTGGACATTTCACAATTCCAGACTTCAAGCTGTATTACAAAGCTGTAATCATCAAGACAGCATGGCACTGGCACAAAAACAGACACTCGGATCAATGGAATAGAATAGAGAACCCAAAGATGGACCCACAAATGTATGGCTAACTAATCTTCAACAAAGCAGGAAAGACTATCCAGTGGAAAAAAGACAGTCTCTTCAGCAAATGGTGTTGGGAAAACTGGACAGTGACATGCACACAAATGAAGTGGACCACTTTCTTACATCATACACAAAAATAAACTCAAAATGATGAAAGATCTAAATGTAAGATAGGAAACCATCAAAATCCTAGAGGAAAAAACAGGCAACAATCTCTTTGACCTTGGGAGCAGGAACTTCTTACTAGACATGTCTCTGGAGACAAGGGAAACAAAAGCAAAAATGACCTATCGGGACCTCATCAAGATGAAAATCTTCTGCACAGCAAAGTAAATAATTAACAAAACTAAAAGGTAACTGACAGAATGGGAGAAGATATTTGCAAATGACATATCAGATAAACAGTTAGTACCCAAAATGTATAAAGAACATATCAAACTAGGGGCACCTGGGTGGCTCAGTCAGTGAAGCATCTGACTCTCAGTTTCAGCTCAGGTCATGATCTTATGTTTTGTGAGTCGAGCCCTGCATCGGACTCCAAGCTGACAGTGAGGAGCCTGCTTGGGATTCTCTCTCTCCCTCTCTCTCTGCCCCTCCCTTGCTCACTCTGTCTCTCTCAAAATGAATAAACATAAAAAAAATTTTTTTTTAATTAAAGAAAAAAATAAAGAACATATCAAATTCAACACCCAAATAACAAATAACCCAGTGAAGAAATGGGCAGAAGACACATATAGACACTTTTCCAAAGAAGACATCCAGATGGCAAACAGACACCTGAAAAGATGCTCAACATCATTCATCATCAGGGA